CGAATAAATTAGTTCAAGAAACTTTTTTTTCTTTATAAAAAAAATGATCAATAAAAAAATATTCAGAAAATTTTAGTTTATTTTAAGCTCTTATTAAGTGCCTGTTTCAAAATTTAGCTTTTACTTGTTTAATTTTTTTAACATGCTACGTTTGATTTTCGATATTTCAAAAATAATAAAATAAAAATTTTAGCAATAGTCGATAAACTGTAGCTCGTAAGTCACAGGTGATACATAATTTTGTAATTCGGAAGCAAATTGTATTCGGGTTAACGCTGAAAAGTGAAGTAACGTTTGCTGATTACTGAGTTAGAAACTGTAGAAATTACTATACAGGGGGGGGGGGAGGAGATTTGCTTATTTTTTCTGACAATAAAAGTTTATAGTATAGGCCACATTCTTTTTTTTAAATGCAAAATAAATACACTGCTCCAAACTGTTAAAGGATATTGAGATTGCGGGTTGATCTTGCACCTAGAGAATTGTTCTAAGGATAGTCGACAGACCTAATAGGTTATATGAGATAAAAATGACATTTGTTTGGCAGAAAAAAAGCGTTTTATTGAGCATTTGGGCACAAAAGGAAAAAAAAACACAATTTGTGCATATGAGAAAAATAACTTAAAAAAAAGGTGTTTCCTTGAAAGAAAATCGTTCTTAATAAGGGGTATGGTTTCACCGTACTGCCAGCAACGTTGAACACCTTTAAGGCATCGAGTCAGTGAGGTTATTAATGAGGGGCTGGGGCATTCTGTCCCACTCCTCCAAAAGAGCTCTTTCCAGTTCTTGGAGAATTTGTGGCGGTGGTAGGCGTCCAGTAATTCGTCAGTCTGAAATGTTCCAAACATACTCGATTGGGTTCATGTCCGGAGAACACGCTAGCCAATCCATTCGTATGATTCCTTCCTCTAAAGGGAAATCATTCACCATGTTAGCACGACGTGGCCTGCAATTGTCGTCCATCTGCATGAAATCATCTCCAATTGCTGCAGCGTAAGGGACTACGATAAGTCTCAGGATCTCATCCCTATATCGGCGACCTGTCAATGGAGATGCCAGCATAGACCATCACTCCACAACTTCCAAATCTTACACTTCCGGAAGAATTGTTTCTAGTGCCACGTTCCCTCCAGATGAAAATACGCTTATTATCAAGATGAACAGAAGACTCGTCAGAGAAAGGAATGTTACGCCATCCATTTCTCCTCCAGTTCGCATGTTCTGTTGTCCACTCCATGCTGGCGAGTCGGTGCTTTGTTGGTTAACGTGACACACACAATTCGTCGTCGAGCATACAGACCTACAGTGTGAAGGCTGTTTCGGACAAAGTTTGAAAATAGGAAAAACTTGCATTTGTGAATATCTTCTTCCATTGGTTGATTCAAACGTAAAATNTTGAAACATCGCACTCATCGAAACAACGCGCATACTAAATGTCGATCATTCTTTTCGGGAAGGTGAAAGGCAAATCATTAAGGTGTCTTACATTAAGGTGAAAGGTAAATCTAATTCAGTTAAAGGACTTCGTTGAAACAACGCACTCATAGAAACAACGCGCATACTAAATGTCGATCATTCTTTTCGGGAAGGTGAAAGGCAAATCATTAAGGTGTCCTACATTAAGGTGAAAGGCAAATTAAATTCGCCGCTGCTAAAAATTCGCGCTACTCAAAATTTGCATACTGCAAAGTTTGAAAATAGGAAGAACTAGTATTTGTGACTCGCTTCTTCCATTTTATGCAACAACAAAAAAAAACAATTGTTTATACCGTTATTTTATACAAGACTTACAATATCCTTTGTTTGTTTTGAACAGTGCAGTTATAAGTTAATAAAATATTAAAAACCGTAACGCGATTTATAAATTATGAACATAATGATTAAAAGACAACGGACAATTTTTACATACGGACAATTTAAGTAATCCTATACTTGATTAGTTTGAGCTAGAAGTTTGTGTTGTTAAATAATAAGATTCGAGATTAGAAACGTTGTTAAAGGGACTAAATTTTATATTTTCCTGGATTAAATATTGAAGATGTTAATTCATTGACAGTCTATATATAGTAAAAAAATTTGTGATTATGTGTTTGTTTGCTCCTTTTTATGCTTTCTTTGTTAGATGGGGAAAAATACTGTCAAAATAAGAATTAAAAAAAACAATTTTATTAAAATATTAGTTTACATTTTCTTAGTTACAATATAAGAATTTTTTTAATAGCAAGAAACACTTTTTCATTTTTAAATAGGCAGTGCATTTCAAAATAAATACTTAAATTAATCGTTACATTATCGATACATACGATTAATCGATACATACTTAAATTAATCGATACAGCATTACCCACGGATTAGGTTCGGTCGAGTAATCTAGTGCAAAAATATCTTAACAAGAGATATACCCAATCACAAACTCAACTGATTTAATTTCGGCAGTGCCAAAATTATTTCCACCCCAGTTGCAAAGCTAAATCGCAAATTTTTTTAAAAGACCATAAATTATGACACCGCAGGATTCAATGAAATTTTTAATTTTGAAAACTTAAGAGAAAACATAAACCTCAGGGCGATTGCAACTTATTTTCGTAGTGACGTAACTTTATCTAAAATACAAAATATTTCATTTTATTTTCACCCCAATTCGCTTTCCAACTACCAGAAAGAGCCACCTCAAAGATAACATTTCAAGACAGATGGGAAAAGGGCCGCTAACGGCCTCAGGCGCCCAGATAAATTTTGATGATGATTTTAAATCATTTTAAAATCCGTGCAATATTTATTTCAAATATTTAATTAGCATTTATGTTGCTCATGAACTATTTATCAATTTTTTTTCTTTTATTCAAAAACATTTCAGTTAATTTATTTGAAAATGCACTTTCATGTTAAGTGGCGTGATGAAAAAAAAATCACTTTTCCCCCATTTTTGTATTTTTTTCGATTAAACTATTTTTTGATGAAAAGGAAATATTTTTATTTTGGAAAGTATCAATATAGTATTCTTCAGTTTTGAATGAATTTTAATATATACACGAATTTAATTTAATGCAAATACATCATTAAGGAAAAAAAATTAAAAGAACTGACAAAAAATTAACTAAAAGAACTAAGATAATAAAGAATTTTTTTTTAATTTCATGCAAATATATTTATAAATTGACTGATGAAAAGAATTGTATTTGAAATACTGATGTTTACTAAACAACTATCAAAACTGCTACCAACATGTCTAAATACTTGAGCTCTTCATTAAAAAAGGTTACACGCCCCTAAAATCACAATAAAAATATATATATTTTTTTTATAAAATAATTTTAATTCACTTAGCAAATAAAAATAACTTTTAACTAAACTGTGAGTATAGCTATTGAAAAATAGTAAGTTATTTTCTGATATTTTTAAGACTAATTTCATTTCAATATAAGTCGGTAAGTGTATACCACAGACTTATATATCCAATAACTTATGTTCCAATTTAATACTTTTCTAAATTCCGCCTTTCCATAGCAATTATTAATCCCTTATTAAAACATTTTAATTAATATAATTAAAAATATTTAAATTATGATAAATTAAAACATATAAATTAATATAAAATGAATGATTATAAATACCCGAATGTCTCTTCACAGTGTTGTTGTTGCATATTATAATTTTGAAAAAATTGTATTAAGTCTACTATAAAGTGCATTTTAGCCCGTTTTGTCCCGAATTTATATATTGAAATCATACAAAAAGTGGTTTTATGGGGAAAGTGGTATAATATATTTCCGAAATTAATTGTTTTTTCTACTGTTAGGGCATTCAAAAAATCTTCGATAGATCAAAAAGTGCTTGCTCTTCATAATTCTAGATCTAATCAGAAATAACTAAATCATTGTGGTATCTGAGAATCTTTTAATTCACCCAGATAAATGGAAATGCTGAAAAAAGTTTCCCACCACAATGAATGTTTTTGAAAAAAGGAACTGTCCTAAATATATGACGCTGGGCGTTAACCGGTTAAAATCTTGAAGGGGAGGGCACATAAGTCTATGTAAGCCACTGTTTATGTGTAGTGGTGGAGAAATTCTTTTCATTCTAATTTATTATATTATTAATGCATTACATTTGCAACCGCTAGGGAGAATATTTTTTGAAACAACGGAAACTCCGTCGTAGTTGGGAGATATCTCTTAAAATGATCTAAAATATTGCTCGACATCGCCATGCCGTACTTGAGATAAACTTTACATCACATTAACCTTCCTAGATCGAAGGTACACATTATATTTTATTTTATATTTCGTAACCGTCGTTGAGCAGCCGACTCAATTTTGGGGATTACGACTTCTAATGTTCCACTCCGTAGCCTTGTAATTTTTATCGCAATCCAAAAGACAAGGGAACTCCTGGATCAAGTATTGGGAGAAATTTGCCTTCTTGTGGGACTTTTTGATGGAACTAACCCACATTTGCGTACACATGGAGAGGAAGACTACGATAATCTCCCACGGTTAGCCTGACGGCAAAAGGACTCTAACCGAGAAGCCGTCTACCACTGAGGATATTTCACGTCAGCACCGCTGTCGGTGCAAGCCGCATGCGGATTTGTATCGTACAGCCATCGCTGGGATTCGAACCCGGTTCACCTCATTGGAAGGCGAACGTTCTATTTATTAAGCCATTGCGGCTCAAGGTACATATTAGTGCACTTCGTCAAATACAAGGTACACAACCAGAAAAATTAAAGATTGGTAATGAGTTTCTCAAGACAACTCAACCCTTTGCACTCCGAGTACTTTAAAATGATGTTTGAACAAATGTAACCACTAAGTCATTTAAAATACATGATATAATACAGTAAAACAAATAATACAGTATTTTTACATGATTTTCAAAATTCTTAAAATATTATGGTTGCTAATTATTAACCTATAAAAATTTTTAATTTTAGTGTGGTGACTGTTGGCGGTGCCTAAGGGTAAAATTTTATAAATTTACAATTTTGTTTCATAAAATCAGTTTTCCAAGTCTTCACAATACGATGAGCTTAATGAAATTATTATTAGAATTTCTTTAAAATATGTACATATTTCAAAATTTGGCTACTACTTTTAGACGGTTTCGAAACGTATATTTTTTTTAAATAAAAGAGCGAAACATCCGAATCAGTTTTTCTCGAGCTCGATAGAGTAACAGAAAATGTTCCAAACAATGTTTTTTGCACGAATTGCTCGTCTACAGAAGAGAAACATAAGCTTGGTTTAATGTCTTGAACAATAATCTTGATTCGAACATTCTGTCCTTCAAAGAAGTCATGATCAAACGATATATTAATCGAAGGCCTCAAATTAACTTGAACTTCATCATCAAACGAAAAATTATCCCCACTCACATTGTAAATAATAGTTAAAGGTAAGTTGTTGCTTCTATTCTCAGTATTAAAGCACAATTCTACGCCTAAAACTGAATAAAAGTCTTTTTCCGATTCAATTGTAGCTGTATTAATAATATCTTTTGGGAATGCTTCATTTAAGCTAAGTTGGATTGGAAAGAGAGGGAAGAAAATATCATGGCCTGATGATAATGATGAACTTGAAAATCCGATATAACAATATGATGTATTATTCAAGATAATATCATTCATGTTTTTCGATACATATGATGAGGAAAATATAATCGCTACACAATTATACAGAAGCTGCTTTGCCTGAGTGTCTCGGGCCAATACAGAGGTTTCAATTGCTGATTCTGTATTACTGATGAAAAACTTGTCACAAAAATAAAATCTGAAAATAAAAAGAGAATTAAAGGAATAAGAATATACACACAAAAAAAACTGTTATTATTATTAAAGCATCGAAAACCAATGATCATAAATGAACTAAAGATACATCTGAATATTTTAATTTTCAGTTTGTAGCTGGTAGACACTAATAACTTTTTCCTAAAAACTTAATGAGTCAATATCCATACCTGCCAACTTTTCCGGATTTTCCCGGAGATTTTATTTTTATATTTAAAGTGGTAGTAAATATATACTATTTTTTCTTTTATAAATTTAATTTTTAAATGATTTTGATCACCACTATTCTTACAAAAATTAAGCACATATATTATTACATATATATATATTAAGCACATATATATTAAGCATTACTATCATGGTTGTCAACTTAAGTTTTTTCAAATGCAACGTATTTGTTTGCTTAAAATTGAAGTTTTAACTGATTTTTAATACCACTGGGAAAAATGATAATGGAAGCGATTAAAAGTTGGCAGGTATGGATATCGATTGGTCTGAGCTGAGGTACATTTTGATAGATGAATGTTGGTATTGTCGATAACTCCGCCCCCCCCCCCACATTATGGACACGCGGACGTGATGCGAACATGCTTATCTTGAAAGTAACGCCCACTTCAATCTGGTAACGCCTACTTCAATGGATGGTCCACATTGAACAGTTCACCTGCTACTTGGGACTACGGCATTATCCACCTACGGCATAATTTATTTCTTCACTTGAACATTTATTAGTTTTTCATAGTTCTAAAACAGAATAGGTAAATCCTACAATGGTAAATGTAGCTTATAACTGGCATTTAAAATATTATTGCTAGTTTACCAATATAAATGACATTGATAATAAAATCCATTAAAAATTATGAATAATTTTTAATTAATCTGAATAACTTTTTGTTTGGATTGCAAGACTTACTCTAAGATTATAATAAATAAAAAATATGATGATAAAACTCGATAAGCTTTGAGAAACCCAATAAAACCCTGGAAAAATTTCAAAACCCTGAAAAAGCTCCCACAGAAACCCAGTGTGTTCATTTCTTTTTTTCGATCCCAGAACTAATCTTAACACAGATAATTTGATTTTTTTAAAAATTCAAAACAGCCATTTTTTTATTACAGATTGTTAATTTATTTAAAATGAAAAATTTCAAGTTATTCATTTTTATTTTGTAAATAAAGTTTTTGCCCTCAAATTGTCTTAAATTCCGACAAATTTTGAAAAAAAACTTAAGATTTTCCCAAAACTTTGCACAACGGCAGTAAATTTACCCCTGGAAAGACCCTAGTGAGAAAATCAAACTCTAAATTTAGGGTCGAAATCTTCAAGTCGGCAAATTTAGAGAAACGTTTGAGTAGGTTCACTTCCAAACAGGTTGCGAAATAAGCCACATGATTCCTAATGGGGCTGCTATAGATGATGTTTTTTACACTAGGAAACGCTGCAAGCTCCATACTTCCGGGTTATTATTTCCATTGTATTTTAAAGCCATTTGGCTAACAACGTGATCATTGTGTTTTAAAATTCTTGCAAACGTTGTATTTGATTACTTATTACTTGTGTTTACAATGCTAACAATACTTGTGTTTACAATGATAAAGGTGCTACCACTAACGTACTGTTTGTCTACGATAGGTACTCTGTCCGCCACAAAGTCTGCGGCAGTCTGGTGCTATGGAAACAAGAAGAGAGCATTTTAGGGAGGGTGGCTTCGATGAAGAGGTCTCCTTTTCTTTCGCCTTCGATGATAGCTTGTATGGGGAGTATACCAGATTGGCTGACTCAGCCACCAGTAGGAGACTTATTTAATCTGATTCAAGAACTTTTTTAAGATTCGCATGAATATTTCTTTCTTACTTAAAATAATTCTCTCGATTCAATCAGTTGTTATTTTTTAAATACAAAGGAAAAAAAGTGAACAAATTCTGACATTAAGGGTAGTACAGGTTTTTTTAATATTACTTTTTAATTTTACGATATTTATTATGAATGTTCATTGATTGTTAGATGGTTTAATTTCTAAACTTGCACATTTTTTAAAGCAGTTAATTTCTTTTATTACTTGAATTTTCTGGAAAAAGTGAAGAGCTTAAACTTAATAACTCTGATTTTAAAAGGAGATAAAACTTTTGCTGAAAAT